TTATACATCTAACCTGTGCAAAACCATAACTAAAAAGGGGACCGAAATGTGGGTGGATTGTGTTGTTGCCAGATGTAAGCAATGATATCCCTTCTGGTAAGCAAGAGTGCCCGAGGAAAAAATAAAAAAGAAAAAGGTAGTTCTGAGAGGTAATTTAAAAGGAGTTGTAATTAGAATATTTGATAATAAATTATAAAAAAAAAAAAGAGATATTCGAAAGAATAATTTAATAAATAGTGATAAATTAGAAAATAAAACATAAATTTAAGTTCCTGATTTTTCATTTCTAACTCGTCTCTGGTTGAAGAGGGTAGTGCAAAAAAATACATGTTACATATCTTACGAGTTGCAGAGAAATTGGTACCCTTTAGCATCAATCGACTAACACATCACTCCCACTCGTGGTCAAGAAACCAAAATGTTCTCATCTTTGGTGTAGGTATCCAACAATCTTAACGTCGAAATGGCAGAAGCAGAAAAGGAAATTTCCGTCAATGAGGCTTCAGGTTCCTTCCTTGCTTTCAAATTCAAACCAGGCTGCCCAACCACTCCATCTTGTACATCATCATTGAGTAATAATCTGAACTTTAGAATCGTGAAGACGAGCAATTGGTTTTACTTGCTTTCTTGGAGCTTGATTTGGATCTATTATATATTTTCCAGCTGCAACGAGAAATCCAAGCATAGAACCACTGGTGCAACTTCTGCAACTAGAAATCTAGGCATAGTACTTAGCACACCCAGTTGAAAAGTCCTTGTATTGTATGCTCTTTCCCATTGTTCTTTCTTCACATGCTTCAGAACTTCTTCAAAATGTTCAGAAGCATCCTCCATATTTGTGACACACTTGGCACAGGGAAAAATAATCGACATTCAAATACGCATGACATGACAAAATAGCGAATAAGTATGCAAAACCCAATGAAACATCTCTAGTTTCACTAAACATATGTACCAGACCTATTAGTAAAATATCTGTTTCAGAATTGTTATTCTCTTAACCAACTCCAAGGAAGCCAACCAAGAGGATCCCTTTTGTTTCTAATAAGCATATTGATAGATTCGCAAAATTTTCCCACCATGTAACATCACATATTATCTCAATATTGCAAGGACAACTGCGTCAAAATAAATTAACAACCTTTAAGCACCATTAGCAAATCTTTGCATTTCAAGAGTCTTCAAATGTAACCAAGCAGTCACCTTCAGAAATAGAGTCAATTTGTTCATGGCCAAAGCAGACATCTTTGAGGGCACACGTGGAGATTATCAAAACTATGTGTCTACATAAGAGGCAGCGATGCAAGGACTGAAATGAATGGCAAAACCAGAACAATTAAGAAAGAGGACAAAGAAAGCTCTTAAGTTTTTGCATCATATACCACAAATAATTAAAATACTACATCAGCATAACAGCCCACTATTAGCAAGTCACTGACCAAGAATATTTAAATGTAACCAAAAAAGCAGTCACCTTTAGAAATCTGGGAAATCATTTCATGTTCATAGTAGACATCTTCAAGAGCAGAGGTAGAGTAGCAAGGATTGATAATGAATGGTAAAACCGTAACAATCAGCAAAAACTTAAAAAGGAGAAAGAAAGTTCTAAAGGTTCCCTCTGCAATGTCTCAAAACGCGTGCAACTGTAGCACCAAGATTTTTGCCAAAGACCCTAAGGTAAGCAGCAGGTAGCACACAAGTAATGCATGATTCATGGTTCCACAATTAAATTTTTAAATAAGTAAACCTAAAAAGGGGTATACTTCAAATAATATCCTATTTGAGGCATACAATCATGTTCATGCCTCTATCAGTAAATTTACAAAGAGAGTTAAAGGTATGAAGAAGAACTCGAGTCAAATTAGTTTAGATAACAGAAATCATCAATGCATCGTTGACCTGTGCAATATATGGAAGACCGCAAATATGTTGACATAGTGGATACCTGATGAATTGTAATTGCCTAACTGGATCTGAGCTTTGTTTGCATGCTGAGAAAATCAGAATAGGAATTGAATGGTGGAGAAACATAAACAGAGAGGCCAAGAAAGCTCTAAAGTCTTGCTTTTTCTACATAGAAAGCAGTGGTCCATGCCTCCACCAATTTCTTCTTCAAGCTTTTTGGGCTGGCATTCATTGCAATGTGGAGTGCCTGTTAAGTTACTAGTTATTATTTTACACAAGACAGTTCCCTTTGCGTACTATTAGGTCAGTTATCAAAACAAAGTTGGAAGAAGGAAGTAATTCCATCTAACTTCAGAAGGTAAAGTTTTCTTTTTCTTCTATTTTGTATTCTCTTTATTCCAATGTTAAAGAGTAGGAGAGATGATACATAAAATGGTAGAGAAGGAAAAAACCTTTTTGTCTCTATGTTCTTTGATGTAGAATCTTCATATTAAACTTCCTGCAAGTGTCAAAAGGTTGAGCAGGTCTATCAATTTAGAAAAACATTTAAATAACCTCTAAAAAAAAATCTAATAAAATGTTTTAAAGAAAAGCTCAAATCATTCAAAATTGACCAGGTTTAAAAAGCTGGATTCAACAAAAGCTATTTTAAATAGCTGGATGACTATCCTAGCACAGAAAAGCTAACTAGCATTGGAACAACCATAGACATTAACATCGAAAAGGCATAAACATACCCATAACTGAGTGGCTTTTGACATCTCACATAAATCAGATAGATTGGTAAATGTTTCCCATTGTGTTCCATCAGACACCGCATCAATACCAGAGGTAAACTACAACAGCATCACCCTAACAGAACTATTAGCACAACTTCACAAACATATCTCCAAGTAAAAATATAATTCACATAACCAATAATCCAACATGGAATCAAATCGGAATTAGGTTCAGAATCCAACCTGTCCTTACTATTCTGATGTGATTAAGACTATCTTGCTAATAATAATCCTCCACATGCAAAAGCAAGTTTTAGGCCTAGCTTTGCAGATATTAGAACATGCTCACATTCTTCAACAAGAGAATTAATCAGACACTATTGCACATATTTTTAACCATTGAGGAAGTTTAGGGATGACCACATGGAATTCATAATTCTAGCACAAATTAGGAACACATTAGAGAACTTTAAATAAAATCCTTTCCAACAACTACAAAGGTCATATTGAGATTTTCATTGATCAGACTCAAAACAAGTAGAAAATTAAAGGAAAAAAGCAAGCGTGGTCAATAAACTAGACTTCAATTTCCTTAATATAAAAGAAAAAATACCTCAGAAACTTGGTTTTCTCCAATCTTCTTGGCAAACAAACAAACCTTTGCCAATGATGACATTACAATAGATAACCAGAGAAATCTACATCAGATCTTAAAGGAAAACATAAGAGAAAGGGTAATACCTAAGATATAAAGCAGTTTTACAGATCTAGAAGTTGATGGATTGATGCAACAAACCCAGCAAAGAGATGAGAAGAAATGTAGAGTAATAGCTAAATCACCTTCTTCATTGATATATATTTTGGACAACAGTTCTGACCGTTGGCACAGTGTAGAGAAGATGAACTCTGGCTTGCTTTAGAGATGTACCTGAAAAAAATTAGTTAAAAGAAGATTGAACAACAAAATTTTTCAACAACACTTAAACTCTACCGAGCAAGCATTCTAGAAACAAATCATAATTATCTAGACATATATATGGTGCTCTCCTCTTGCACCCAAAAAAAAAAAGTACCTTGAGAATTCAGATTCCCAGTCACTGGCAAAACTATATTTTGCAACTTAAATAAAGCTGTGGAATTATCTAATCTAATAGATAGTCAAGATTGAAATAAATTATTGAAATAAATTACCAATAAAGATGGTTGAACTAAGGCAGAATTTCATATTGAAGGCAGAGCAATCACTGGTTGTTTCAAATGACAAAATTGAGGCCCAAACATTTAAACTTCATACTTTCCTAAGGTCATTTGAGTGGACAAGGGCAGTTTCTTCTCCTTCAAAGTAACATTATAGTGTACTTGACATCTGATTTTGGAGCTCTTCATGGAAAAACTTGACCTCTTACTGGTACCAAAGTACCCATTTGAATTGCGTTAAGTAGTGATCCAGTTGCTCCTCATCACCATCATGCTTTTCTAACACAGCATCAGCATCAGTGATGGAGCACCGCTTGCTATGCAAGTTTATGCTTTTCTATTTCTTCTGGTCCTACATCAATTAGCCTGCCCACAGATGAATGTAATTGTAGCCAGGTAACATCCAAGGATGGTCATTAAGTAATTGTTTTTGAAATAACAGTAACTAACCAGTATTTTACTTTAGCTAATCAGACATATATTTACACCATGGAACCAGAAAATACAATAAAATAAATTCTTAAAAAAAAAAGGGGCAAAAAGAAGAGGAGTGTATAGTCTGACCTGAATGCTAGTCCATCTTTGGTGATTCTAAGAGGATAAATTGACAAGCGTGCAGGTACAATTGTTGATGATGATGATGATGATGTTGTTGAATGAAGTTTGAGAAGAGACATGCAAATGCAACTAACTGAAATGCATATTACAAGAAAAGCAAAGATGTGGGTGCAGTAAAATAAATGCCAAAAGAGATTAAATAGATACTAATTAATTTCAAGTCTTTTTTGTGCACACTTCAAAAAAAAAAAAGTTACATAGATGATAAAGAAATAAACATTCCCACTTAGAATTCGACATATTTAAACACACAACAGAGACACAGCAAAAGAAAAACAAAGAATAGCAAGTTTATATTAAATTGAAAACCCAACAGCAAGAGCAACGGCAATAGGGGCAAATGTGATTTCCTCCAACTTTCTTGTGGTAACAGATTCGAATTCCAATTTCACTGCCAATGGGAAGAAAAGAATTAATGAGTCAGAAGAAAAGAAAATGAAAAGATTACACCAAAGAGCTTGCCTTGTGAGAGAGATTTGAAAGATAAGAAAGAAAGGGAAAAGGAAGCACAAAGATGAAATGTTTTACATTTGATATGCGCCCTATCACCAAAGAGCCCACTCAAAGTTCTTGCTCTTCGATTTCATCATTGTCATCAAACTCTTCGATCTCTTCACTGTAATAATCAGAATCTTCGAATGCTTCATTGGCATCAGACTGTGATAAAAACTTACAGAAGGGTAAAAGGACATCCTTTGCATTGGGATGGTCCCATTCCATTGATTCCCAACATTCTTTTGAGGATACCACAATTTCTTTGAGGGAAGGAGGATAAGATGATTGGGAAAAATTCAGAGAAATCCTCTTTAGCTTTACGCAGGCCGAAATCCTTAGACTCTGGATGGAATCACAAATCAACATACTGGAGCAATTGCAGATGCTCTTCAACGCGGGCAATTTGATCAATTGCAAGGTTTGTAACTTGGGTAGAGTGACTTTTTCTTCTTCATGTGTCGATGACGATATCAGCTCCTCCATTTTCGGACAATTTTCAACCTTAATAGTCTCTAGAGATTGGAAGTAGCGGAGCAGCCATCCAGAAGAGAATACCTTCTTTAATTGATAACACCTAGAAACCTTAATTTCTTAAAGAGAGAGAAAGCTTGTGGGAGGTACAAGTGGCGATAAACCAAGACCTTCTTCATCAAACACACATTTCAGATTCTCTAACCATCAAAGCTCTAGATATTCAAGATTTGGAAGTGGGTTGAACCCTGACCAAAAAACACTCTCTATATTTTCACAATCTTGAATTACAATCTTCTTGATGGAATCACAAATCAAAGAACTGCTGTAGATGCTCTTCAACTGGGGCAATTCGGTCAATCTCAAGCTTTGTAACTTGAGTAGAGTGATTTTTTCTTCTACGTGTGCCGATGACGATATCAACTCCTCCATTTGCGAACACCTTTTAACCTCAATAGTCTCTAGAGATTCGAAGTGGCAAAGCAGCCATCCAGAATACCTTCTTTAATTGATCACACAATTCAACCCTCATTTCTTTAAGAGAGAAAAAGCTGGTGGGAGCACAAGTGGCGATAAACCAAGACCTTCTTCATCAAACACTGATTTTAGATTCTTCAATTGGGAAAGGTATAGATATTCAAGATTTGGAAGTGGGTTGAACCTTGACCCAAAAACACTCTCTATATTATCGCAATTCCAAATTTCAATCTTCTTGATGGAATTACAAATCAAAGAACCGCTGTAGATGCTCTTCAATTGGGGCAATTCGGTCAATTTCAACCTTTCTAAGTTGGGTAGAGTGACTTTTTCTCCTTCTTCAGATTCAGACCCTATTATCTCCTCCAGTTGCTTACAATTATGAACATAAATAGTCTGTAGCTTCTGGAGATACCCCAACCACCTAACCGAGAATAACTTCTTTATTTTATCACATCCCCAAACCCTAATATATTGAAGTGAAGAAAATGTGCCAGCTGGTAGCGGTGCTGACTTAGCTACTGCTACTACTTCCCCAAACACTGTATTCAAGTTATCCAAATTACAAAGATCCAGCTTCTCAAGGTTTTGAAGCTTCCTCCAACTTTCAATCTTCTCCCATTTAGATTTTGTTCTGGTATTTATTGTTAAATGTTGAAGTTTGGAGAGATTTTGTAGCAGTTCATCAAGTGTTTCTGATATTCTTCCACCAAGACCAAGATATTTTAGATTTGTTAACATGTTGAGGCCTTGGGGTAGTTCTTCAATTGATGTCCAGGAAAGATCTAACTTTTTCAAGCCTATAAAGTTGGATAAAGATGGCACCTCTCTTAAGGACTCACAATCCCCCAGCAATAATGTAGTAAGCTTCTCCAATTTGGAAACAGAAGTCGGCAGCCTACTTAGCTCATGATTATTGGAAAGACCAAGAATCTTGAGCCCAAGCATATTCTCAAAAAAGGCTTCTGGAATTGTTGAAATCTTGTTATTGGATAGCAGCAAGGTTGAGCATAGGACACTTCGGAGATGGCATGCTTGAAGGAATTTCTGTTATGTGGTTCCTCATTAAGGAAACCTTCAAACAATCTCTCCATTCATCCTCTTCTGGTAGCTTTTCCAAGGCAATGCCAGCTTTCACAAAAAATTGATTGATTTCCAGTGCCATTTCTCGGAGAAGATCATGCATACTAACACAATCTTCGTTGTATCCAACCAACTCCAACAAGCAGTTGTCAACAAGCTTATCGAGTATATCATGACCCTTCAAATTCATTGCCTCCCTGGTTTTCCCTTCTTTATATATTAGCCCCTCCTCAATCCAATACTCAATTAACTCCTCCTTTGTGATTTCAGCATCTTCAGGATACAATGCACAGTATAGGAAACACTCCTGGCATTGTGGTTCTAAGCATTCATAACTGAAGTTCAAACAATCAACAATGCTTTTAAATTGACTAAATTCAGAAAGTTGCTGACTTCCAATTACGAGGAAGTAATTTCCCTCTCATTGATTTTGCCACTGTCACTATAGCAAGAGGTACTCCACCACATTTCTGCAAAATTTGCTCCAAAAATGGCTTTATATCTGCTTTAATTCTGCTATCTGACAACACTTCACTTCCAACTTTCTTCAAGAACAATGCTAATGCTTCTTCAGGTGGAAGAGGATTCACAGGTATCACCTTACACTCCATTGCACGAGCAACATCTTGTAACCGTGTCGTGAGTACTAACTTGCAACCATTATTTCCAACTAGATTAGGAATTCCAACATCTTCTAGAGAGAAAGGCTGCCACATATCATCCAAAATTAGCACAAAGCTGCCCTGCCTCAACTTTTGTGAAATCATTCCTGCATTCTTGGTTACATTCTCAGGATCCTTTAGCTCCAATGCTGGTTCCAAGTTACTTGCAATCCTCTTTTGAAACCTGCAAACATCAAACTCCTTTTTTTTCTGGACAAAAATGTCAAAGTCTCTTGACACTTTTACCCAAATAACTTTGTTAAATTTGGGTTCTTTCAACAGTTGGTTGTGCACTTGCTTCATAATTGTTGTCTTGCCCACACCACCCATTCCCGAAACTGCAATTCTTATAACCTCGTCTCCCTTCAACCATTCCAGAATTCGATCTTGTACATCATCCCTGCCACTGCATTCTTCAACGTCCAGTGGATCTCCTTTGATTGAGTGATCATATACAACCAAACTCTCACCAGCATTAGTGTATTTTTCTCCTTGCTCAAATGTTTGCTTTAATTCTTCAGTCTTTTTCTCGAGGTTGGATGATGAGGGACATTCCCCTGGGCTGATCAGGGCTTCAACCTTTATAGCAATTTGTTGGCTTGCTTTCTCCATCCAGTGTTCAACTTCCTACCTTGGAATCTTTCCATCTTTATGCTGAGTCTTCAATGTTGCCTTAATGTCTTCTGTCGGCGCTTCAGCTGCTCCTGCATTTCTTTGGATACTTTCGTGCAATACTCAATTGAGTGATCATCCAAACCAAACTCTGACCAGCATTAGCGTAATTTTCTCCTTGCATAAATATTCCATTCGGTGCTTGAGTCTTTTTATCGAACTTTCTTGATGAGCAAATATATGTGAAACAACCCCCTTTACAAATCAGATCTTCAACCACTGATTCGGCGGTTTCTTGGTCTGCCTTCTTCAACCAAGCTTCCACTTCCCCATTTGGAATCTTTCCGGATTGCTTTTGCTGTGTCTTCAAGTTTGCGTCAATGACATTTGGTCGGTGCTTTAGATTCTCTTGCATTTCTTTGAATTCACTGACATAATCATTGTGACGCATTTGATACTTTACATACTTCTTAACTTCAGGGCCAACATCCTTCACAATATCAATGACTGATGTTATGATATCCATTAGGGAGTCCTGCATGTATGAAATTGTTGGGTATAAGCTAATTGTGCCTTAGAAACTTAAATGACCCTAGGAAACAGATCATCCAATTTATAACACGAGCAAACAAGGATAAGAATTAAAGTATTTGGGAAAAAACAAATTGACTTGGAAATTAATGGGGGAATTACTGTGTATGACTAATTTAAGTATTTGATCTTTATAAATTTAGTACTTCTTATAATTTTTAAAATAAATTTCAAAATAAATTTCATTTTTTGATTTAAAATTGGACTCAAATTAATTATTGTTTTTTAAGTAGATAAATATTTTTTTATTATTTTAACCTTATTATTATCTTTTTATTTTGATTAATTACCTTATTACAAAAAGTTTATTTTTTAGATTTTTTAAGGTAATATAAATAAATATATAAATTTTTCTTAAATTCTTAATTAAAAAAATAATAGTTATTTTAGAATATAAAAAGTAGAATAATAGATACTTTTTGATTTTATATTTAAATTAAAGATTTGAGATAATTTCTATTTTTATCTAAATTATTTAAAGGAAAATGATTTAGAAGGCAACATTTTGATGAAATTTTATTTATCATTTAAATGAATTAATTTATGACTTATGATATTAAGTGCATTTAAAAATTATATAAAAAATATCTCTATCTCATTACCTTTATTCCTATAAAAAGAAATAAAATTTTATAAAATTATTTATTATTTAAAAATAAATTTTAAATAAAAAAAAAATATCTATCATCACTAAAAAAAATTGGCATTGGGGATGAGCTCTGGGCACGACTTTGACGCTTGTATACCCGATGTTGTATTGAAGTGATAACAGGGACAGTTCATTTGAATTGTTCCGAAATTCATGCAAAATTTTAATGGGAGACGCCTTATCTTCTACTATTTTTTAGTTTATAGATAATATAAGAATTGTCGTGCCCAACTACTTACATTTTTCAGAAAAATAATTTAATGGGGTCGTTTGGATCATAAACCCAAATATAAATAGCAAACACCCATGAGTGGGTGGATGAGTTGATTGGGATTCTTTCAATTTAATCAGATGTCTTGAGTTCAAGTCCTGAGAATGCAGCTCCATTCAAATTTATGAGAGAGAACTTTGTCATCCATTGGATCTACCCGACTCAAATCCGGATTAATCAGTGACCCAACGAACTTCTGCACACCAGATAGTCATACCAAAAAAAAAAAAAAAGCAAACAACCCCTTCTTTCACCAAATCATGAAATGTGAGAGAAACCAAACCCGTCGATTAGCCAGGGGGAGATGTGGTCTGTGTGTTGTCTACACGGCTGGGAGTAAGTCTCTATCTGTGGCCACCTTGCTTCTCCTTCCTATTTTAAGTTTTGACTCTGCCGGTACTCAAAGCCCTGAAAACGCCACCATCCGATCTAGACACTTTTCGTTGATCGTTTAATCCAATTTCGAGTTAACTCCTTATTTTCCTAAACCTTCTCATTTTCCTACGTCAAATTCCCCAATCCTCTACTCCAATCCGTCTAGGTTCAGAGTCGTTTTTGTTGAATAAGTCTTTAGTTTTCTGTTTTTGTTGAATAAGTCTTTAGTTTTCTGTTTTTGTTGTCCTATTCTTTGGGTATTAGTTGGCTACGTGTCTTTGAGTTTCCTTGTTATTAGGAGTACAGGTTTTACAGGTAGTTTAGTGGCTGATTGGTTCCTATTTTGTTGCTTAATTCAGTTGTAGTTTTGCCTATTTGTAAGGTGATTTTCTATCTGTTGAATAAGATGTACAGAAGTTTTTCCTCTTGCAAATTGACTTGGTTTTACTGTCTTTTAATTTCTTTCATTTGCTCAATCTGTTCATGCCCAGCAAGTGTTTGATTTAATTCCTCAAAGAATATTCGTCTTGAAGCTTTGTTCAACTCTGTTTTTCTCACAGTCGTGTCATTCGCTGAATTTGATTAACGAAAAGCTACGTAAGTTCTTTTCTTTTCATTATTTTAATTGCAAACGTGTGACGACAAATACCGGAGCTCAAGCATTCCCTTTCTCGCTTCAATTACTAGAAAGTCTAGCCTAGAATCTTTTGTCCTTTTGTTTTTCCTTGGTTTCTTACTATTTCTCAGCATCCAAACAGTAAAATTTAGGAGCAGTTTGTCTTTAATTTGTTCTGTGAGGTTTATTTTCTTACGTTTATTCTTTACAGGAAAGTGTGGCTCTTACTCGCCTTCGATTGATTTGGTAGCAGACATCAAAACAGAATCACTAAATTAATTCTCTTTAAGTTCATATGTGATTTTCTTATACTTCAGACTTTAATTCTAAATTGGTATTTGTTGTTGTTATATAAGTTGAATCTTAATTGGCTGACTTCACTTAAACTGGAATCTAATTATTTCATAATCTGTAGTTAGCTCTAAACACTTTTGGACTAGAACCTTGTCTTGTGCTGTATTTGTTTGCTATTGCTACCATCCTATATCAAAATATGAGAGAAATCCGCATGCCCTACTCAAAATAGTCACTTTGAATCTCTGTAGCTTGCTTTAATAAAATTGTTTATTTGATTGGAATGTGTCTTTTTTTCGGAAGGAAGTAATCAGAGGAATCCAAATTCTTTGACTTTATTATACATGAATTTTTGTGTATTGAGTTATTTCTTTTTTGCAAGATGAAATTTATTAGCCAAATGCTTGTGTAAGCAATTGATGATGATTGCAATCAGACAGAGTAAATGGTGGCTGAGCTTCTTGGTTGGCCACAAGGAACCTTTGCTTCAAAGGTTAGTGCGGTAGTCTAATCATTTTCCTTTAGACTGGAGCTATCTATATATATAGAAGATGAATAATAATCTGATAGTCACTATATTGCTCTTCAATTACATCATTCTCTTTTCTACTGTTATCAACAAACATTCCCTTGTTAATGGAGCTAATTGTTGGTTAGTATTAATTTATGGTCCTAAGAGGATTGCCTGATACATCTAGATAGTCAGGGTACCATGCTCTTAGTTTAATATGGGTGATAGCCATTTGGTTGCTAGTATAAAAAAGGGTGGTTTCATGAAAATTCTTAGCGATGGATTTCATTTAAAATATGCTGTCTCATTTGTATTACAAAATGTCATGTTTGTACTATTCTCTGGAAGGATCTGTTGAGTTGAGTTCTATATGCTAAATGTTAATTTAAATAGCAATTAAGGGATGCTAGGTAAGGTAATTTGCTAGGAAGCAGAAAGGATGTATAAAGCCAGCAGTTGTGGTTATGGGTACCTGTGGTTGAAGCTTAATGCAGGGTTTAGTTCTCTTCACCTCTTTTTTCATTCTTCTTCATTATGCTTGTAGGCTTGTATTTGGGACTTTACAATTATGAGTCCATCCTTCCCATTTGGGTTTATTTCCTTTTTATCTCCAACTTGTTGGTATTTTCTGCATTATACTTCAAGAAGTGTGTTCCTGAGAAAGGTGTTACTTTTAGACAATCGTATGCTTTCATAGCCCTTCCCATATTTTTGTCTACTAAAATATTTCTCATGATTTTGTTTTGAGTTAGCAAAGAATGTAGATGAGTCACTGATGACGTGGAACTGGAAATAAAGTATTGTGAGAGGTAAGTTCCTTATTACGTAATATAGCTGTCTGTATGCAATACATTTAGTTATGATATGTTCTGCCATTAAACTAGGAAGTAATAAGCATTTTAACTTCTGCTCGTCTTTTTAATAAAAATTCTGAGTTTTACGGTCTTGTCGGTGAAATCTTTACAGTTTTGTTGGTTTTAAAGGAAATGCGTATTTAACCATCTTCTCTAATTCTTATTTTTCTGTTGTGCTAAACGAATATTACCATATTAGCTCCATTGTTCAAATGTGGGATGATAAAAAATTATCAAGTTGATCATTGGGTTGGTGTTGCAAAGGGGCTTCTTTTTCCATGGTAGGGCTAATTTCAATTCAAAATTATAGATAGGATTCCATTATTGAATTGTTTTACTTGATTCACATATGCTCGTAAATAATTCTTGGATGCCTTTGAACTGAGATGTATTAATTGAATTTTTTTTACTCT